GTTGGATGTGATCCTTTCATGCTTACATCAGTGGCCCCAGKGAAGCCACTGGGTTGGGCTATGAACCAGAAGGCTGGAGCCATGAACTTGTTTCTGTGGCCAGACGTGTTGGCAGCATACAAGTGTATGCTGTTCTTAGCTCAGGTTCTGGCAGAGGAGGGTAGAAGTGGGGTACAAAGTTTAATCATAGAATAGTTTGAAGAGACCTGTAAAGCTCATCTAGACCAACTCMCCAGCAATGAGGAGGGACATCTTCAACTCTATCAGAAAACTCAGCCTCTCATCCAACCTGACAATGAATGTTTTCAGGGATGGGGAATCCACCACCCCCATAATCAGGGATACTTGGCTGAGKGAGAAAAAGAGAATTCAATTACCATACGCAACTTGTGAGCTTGAATTAGCTTCTGGGTACATTTGTGGTTCTGATACAAAGAGAAATATTGGAAAGACTGAAACCCATTCCTAATTCCTTCTTGGTTTTGCATTTTATGGCAGATACCTGCATATTTTTGCCTCACCTCTAACAGTATGTAATGAGCATAATAACTATAGCACATCCATATATCAGAACTCTTGATTTGGCTGCTCAAGACATCTTATTCAATTTCCCCACTGTCCCAAACTGGCCAACCTTTGTCTCATTGTCACCTCATTGTAATTTCTCAGTTAAAGAGTAACGAACAGAGATAATATTATTTGGGACTGTTTATTAGTTACTGTGTAGTGCCCCAAATGTGCCATGCAGAGCGACAGAACAGAGCATGTGTCTGGTGCTATTAAAAAACTTGCGAGCCTTTTTCAGGCAAAAATGTCAACCTTAAAACAGCTACTAATCAGGTTGGTAGAAGAATAATTAGGGCAGGCACAGCTGAGGTTTCACAACAAATCAAAGTTATGACTAGAATCCAGAAGACATCATCCTAAAAAAATCACTAACATAATCTTAAAAGGAGCCCTTTACATTTGGAGCAAGCAACTGCAGTTTGTTATTTCCTTCATAATGTTTCTGTATATCTTTGCAGACATAAGCATGTCACCTCTGAAGAACACTCTTTCTTTAGCAGGACGAAAAAACAGAGAAGTAGGACACATCTGAACTCGGATTTCCAAGTTCAGCTGCTCCTCTTGCTATTTTCAGCCCTGTAAGCTTTTTCCTTGCTGTCATTTGGGGATGCATRTTCATGATTACAGGGACAGTGTTTGGTCTGCTTGGAGACAGACCTGCCCACTGKACTGCCATGCTAAAATGAAAGGCTGAATTCCCCTTTAATACCAGATAGCTTTATAATGTTTTTACCTCAAAGTATTAAATTTTTTTCCATCAAAGTGTTAWATTTTTTCCTTCAACAAGGAATTGTGAACATTAATAGTGCCAACATTTGCATTCTTCTCTCAGGTAGAATGTAAAGAGCAATGTGATTCTGTTTTGGCCGGGAAATGGGGCCAAGCTTTTCTTGGTCTGTTGATCTTCACAATGAAAAGGTTATGTAAACGTATAAGTAAATTTTCATTAACACAGTTCTGCTCTCCACCTGGAAATATTCATGCTTCTGAAAAAAACAGGAGATGGTATTTTAGAAAAGGTGAAATGACCAAACTTGTAACTTTTCCCCTGAACATCAATCATTTCCTATTATGACAGGAACAAGAGATGGTGCATTAGCAAGTTAAAAGTACACACTGAATCTGACACATTTTGAAGATACTGTCCGACAAGTGGTTTTTTTTTTTAAGTACATCTTCCATCAGTTTAGAGCAAATGAAACCCACACGAAAACTTTACCTATTTTTTTTTTTTTTTATGTTCCATCCTATGTCATAATCCTGTGCAAATATGGACCTCCATGCTGAGYAAAATTGACATTCCATTGCTTTGCATTTTCTGCTTCTTTGGATAAATTCACATAATGAGGTGTGCCTCTAATAACCATCTGTAATTCCCCTGACAGGTCAGTCATACAGGACTGACTGAACTGACTTTCCAAGAGCAGCACATAATTCACAGAAAACTAGTCCAGCTTTAACAGCAAAATCATTTGCTCTTCATGAAGAAACAAGAACACAATTCAGTCCATATTTTACAATAAAATCCATTAACAATGCCTGTTTGGCTTCCTTCTCATGTGACCTTGTATGTAAGTGAGTAATTCACTTGTGCAATATAAAGGTATCACTACAAAATGCAAGCACAGTAATAATCATACTCACATAAAAACAAGAAATGCAGTATGCTAGCAGGGTACWAATTAGGTTTGCTCTGCTATCCAGATAATCCCAAGCCAATTCCAAACCAGTTTCCCTTTTATCTTTTATGTGTGCTACCTTTTCTGATGTTATTGCAATTTAAAAGAATTCAGTGTTTAGTTTATTATGGTTTGGACAAATGCCTAGTTACGTATTATTGATTAATGATGTAATAATCAATTTTATTCTGAGTAAGTCCTCCACTTGGCTGATTGACACTAGCAGCTAAAAATGATTAAAATCTGCTTTCATTTACAATGGCAAGAAAGAGATTCTTGGAAAGGGAAAATGAGGTTATTATTTGGTTTATGAAAATATAAAATATTTTAAATKAAAAATTTAAGTCATGAGTCACTTGTATGCTTTACAACACTGATTTACAGCCTATAGAGTCACTTGGCAAGTGCAGGTGGAAGTCGAAGGGTAATTAAAAGATAAAAAGGGTATTAAAGTAAGAAAGTCCAACTAAAAAAATAGGTTAGTCATCTTTGGTTTGCTGTGGATGTGTCACCACATAATAATAGCAGTTATTAGCAGTTCATGCTCAACCAATGCTTTTATTTTGTGTTTTGAGAAATCTCAAATTCTTTAATTCATTTCCCACTGACTTAAATATTTTTGTAATATTTACAACTGATCTCACAATAACCTATTATGTCAGAAACAAGCATCACTAAGAAAATCTCTGTGTATAAGAAGCTTTTTTGTTTATGAGGTTTAGAAACTTTACTAGGGGAAGCACATTAATTTTATTATTTTTCAGGACAGGTATTTATTTTATGCTGTATTTTTATGCAGCTAAATATTTCAGAACCTAATTTTGTTTATGAATTTTTGGCAATGGCATAGCATTCTGTTAACATTCTACATCTTCTGTACTATAAATTAGTGCTAAAATAAATTGTGTTCGTTTCAGGCTTTTTCAGAGAACCACTATAGCTATGTAATACATCTTGACCAGGCTAGAAAAGAATGATTGAAAGTTACAAAGATTTAATTTCAGTAGCTGTTTCCTGAACCGTGTGATAGCGATTAGCTCCCAACATGACCGAACAGCTCTCATCCCGAGACAAGCACCACCAATCGATAAAAGATGTAGAGAAAKACAAAAAAGACCAAAATTGGAACCAGCCTGCCACCTGCTGCTGAAAGTAATTATTTCAGGAAACAATTTTTGCTAGGACTTGTACCGACCCAGCAAACAACACTTCTGTGTGAGCGGGATTTGACAAAAGCCTTGCCCATTCTGCAAAAGTGTGCTTTCCCCGCGGGATGTTCTGTGCATTTGAAAATAGACCACACAATCTAAGTGGCTGCCTTGCCTTCCCTACCTGGCACTGGGGACGCCACACTGGAGTGCTGTGCCTAGTTCTGGGACCCTCAGTTCAAAAATGACCCTGAGGYGCTGCAGCTGGTCCGGAGAAGGGCAGCAAAGCCGGGGAAGGGTCTGGAGCACAAGTGCTGTGAGGAGTGACTGAGGGAGCTGGGGGTGTTTAGYCTGGAGAAAAGGAGGCTCAAGGGTGACCTTATTGCTCTCTGCAGCTGCCTGAAAGGAGGGTGAAGCCRGGTGGGGGTCAGCCTCCTCTCTGGAGAGCTTCAAGTTGGACATTAGGAAGAATTTCTTCACAGGAAAGTGTCTCAACGTTGGAATGGACTACCCAGGGAGATGCTGGAGTCACTGTCCCTAGAAATGTTTAAGGAAAGACTGGACATGGYACTSAGTGCCAAACCAATGGTAAGGTTGACAAGGYGGTGTTTGGTCAAAGGCTGGACTCGATCTCAAAGGTCTTTTCCAACCTTATTTACTCTGTGATTCTAGTGCTTCAAAATCTTGCTGCAGCTAACTCAGGCTCCTGATGGTCTCCTGTTTCTGCTCCGGGAAAGGGGCCGCGAGCTGAAAACTCCATGCCAGCCTGGTCTTGACAATCGTAGTGCGAGGGGCTGGAAAGGTCTTCAAGATAAACATCACCACCATGAACAAAAGAACCCTAACCCCGAATCAAAATCACACTACTAGTTTTGATGTCCCATAGTTTTAGCAGCACAGGCTGAATTTTGATACTTTCAGCAGCGAGATGAGGGTCCTTTTATGTTTGGAGAGGTGGGATATTTAGCATCCCGTACTTTGCTCACACACGCCTTAAYACATCTTGGTTTTTGCGAAATGCACTTCGCTTCCCAGAGGTCTCTCCAAGTAGCGTGTCCCCAGGAGTCACCGCGGATGCGGCAGAGCAGACCCACCACAGCAAACAACGCGGTGCAGCCCTCAGCCATGCGGGCAGGCGGCTCTCAGTGATGGATGCCCTCTGAGGGCAGAGGGACGGAGCTGAGGGGTGACAGGAAGGGCAGGCGGGGAAGCGTGAGGAGGCAAATGAGCCCAAAGGCCTGCAACAGCCCCAGGACTCCCAGCCCAGAGCCCGCAGAGCCGAGCGCCCCCCG